TCCTTGCCCTGGCTTTGGGCCCCTTTCTGCCTTTTTGCATGAACTCCAGGAAACACAAAGTAATTGTATCACTTAGTTTTCTACCCCTAGACTTATTTGAAAAAATACTGCTTCATATTCTAGTTGAATGGTGGTATTTACATAGTACTCATAAAGCCAGTCATTTACTTGACCTTTCTCATTCAGAAGTGTGTGTGTGTGTGTGTGTGTGTGTGTGTGTGTGTGTGTGTGTGTGTTATTATCCATCTGTTCAAGAGAAAATTATGTATGATGACAGTCTACAAATTACATTCCTTAATAATAAATAACCAGAGGGAGAGGTGAAGCCTTAATCTTTAATTTAAAAGGAACACAAGAAAATTCATGACAAGAATATGCATGTACTTAATTTTCACTTTAAAACACATGAAAGAGTTTTAACGCATTTATAATGTACTATGGAAGCAGCATTTATCAGTTGCATTTAAAAAAATAAAAAGCATTAGCTATTTATGGGTGCAGACCAAATTGTGAATTTGAATAGCCTTAGCTTCAGAAATTATTTATAGATATTCTTTCAGATATGTATGTTCATTCCACAATTATTTTACATATTATATTACAAATAATTTAACTATAGTTCTGCTTGAGGAGCCATCACATCATGATTCAGAGAGATCTAGATTTGGAGCCAAAGACTTATAGATGAGGACTGCCTAAGAAGCCAGGCTTATTACTAATTACCCATGTTCCCATCTCACAGGGACTGGCTGAGTAAACAGGCTCGTATACTGAGATCAAATAGAGACCCAAAGCACAGATTCATTACATTTCAGTTATAATTAATCAACCCTGCTTCACTCAATTTCTCTGTTTCAGCTTTTGTGAGAGTAATCGAACTTAACCCCATCAGAATCTAGTGGCACCTAAAGTGGGTATTGGTAAAGTTCTTAGTATACCTGACTGGCTGTCCATTGAGGGACGCAAGATCATTATTCTGATGGACACGACTATTTTTCACTTACACTCTTGTAGCTACACAGTATAAATAAAAGTTTTCTCTTTAGCAAATGCCAGCAACCTTCAGTATTACATCACATCTAGAATTATATATCGAGAGACAATTGTTTCCTCCTTTTTGTGTTGAGACAGGAAAAGATATCCTGGTGCTTGGATGCCACCAGTTGTCTCACAGCATCAGCTGTAGTGCCTCTGTCTTGCTTGCTATTTCATCTTCACCTCCTGTAGGCTGAATATGGATGGAAAACGGCCTTCTGGGTCCCCCAGTGCTGTGGAATGTCGTTCTGTATGCTGTGAATGTGTGTTGCTCTGATTGTTTGATAAATAAAATGCTGGTTGGCCAGTAGCCAGGCAGGAAGTATAGGTGGGAATAAGCAGTCAAGGGGAATTCTGGGAAGAGGAAGGCTGAGTCAGGAGTCACCAGCCAGACACAGAGGAAGCAAGATGTCAAGGCAGAACTAAGAAAAGGTACCAACCCACGTGGCTAAACATAGATAAGAATTATGGGTTAAATTAAGTGTAAGAGCTAGTCAGTAATAAGCCTGAGCTAATGGCCAAGCAGTTATAAATAATATTAAGCCTCTGGATGATTATTTTATAAGTGGCTGCAGTACAGCAGGTGAGAGATTTTTCCTGACTGTGGGCTAGGCAGGACACAGGAAATCTTCCAACTCCATCCCAGTCCCTCTGACTATGTCTGAATCTTTTCTAAACTCACTCTAATTTTGATAGAGTAAGTTTTAGTGAAGTTCATTTTCTTTATACTTAGAATTTTGTAAAGAATTCACCTTCCAAAACTACACAGAGCCGGGCGTTGGTGGCGCACGCCTTTAATCCTAGCACTCGGGAGGCAGAGCCAGGAGGATCTCTGTGAGTTTGAGGCCAGCCTGGGCTACCAAGTGAGTTCCAGGAAAGGCGCAAAGCTACACAGAGAAACCCTGTCTCGAAAAACCAAAAAAAAAAAAACAAAAAAAAAAAAAAACTACACAGAGAAACCCTGTCTCAAAACATCGGCGGGGGGGGGAGGGGGTGTGGGGAGGGGGGGGATTCACCTTCAAATGAAAGAGTTGTGGCGCTACTTTCAAATTTTAGTTTGGAAATTTTATCTTAAAATATGTTTTATCCATAATGTGGATCTTTGTGTTGGAGGAGCGGATGATTTCTCAACTATGCATTTTGCTTTTGCATTTAAGTATTGTAAAATCTATTCCCAAGGAGCTCATTTGCCTGTGGTTGTGTATGAGAACTGAGAGTCAGGGCCATGGTGGCAACCAGCTGAGAAACACTTAATAAGAACAAGCAGGATGGGAAGGAAGGAAGGAAGGATGGAAGTTAGGACAGATGGGAAGAGGGGAAAAAAGTAATGAACGGGGAAGGGAGAAAGGAGGAGGGAGGAAGAAATGGAGGGAGGGAGAACAGGAGATGCCTTGCTCTGTGCTCCGGTGTCTACATCAGGGGGTCCCCCATGTGTTTGTACAGAAAGCCTTAAACCAGCTGTCAATATGCAATTGCTTGTTCTCCTTCAGTAAGTGAGGACTGCTTCAATAAAACACGATTAGTGAGCTTGACTGAGCAGCCCTCTGGTAGCTGTTACCAGAGAACAGAGATAAGAGCTATGCAGTGGTATGAAATCACCAGGAGGCAGGTAGATGATCAGATGTCTGGAGGTGGGGGGCGGGCGGGGGAGTCAGGTCTGCTTTAGTGTTCTGCAGGCAGGCCAGTATATGTGCCTGCAGTATCTTGGCAGGTTAGTTCACAGATAACCCAGATACAATGTGCCATGAGTCTGAGCTGTCTTATGAATGTGAACACATGTTCTTGGACATCAAAATCATTGATCCCTTCCTAAACACCTGTTTAGAGATTGACCTCTTTTCAATTTTCTAAAAAAAGCAAAAAAACAAAACAAAACAAATAAACCTGCTTTTCTATTGTGGGAATAAGTGAACTGTTAACTGAAGAATAGACTGTTCCTCACAATGAGAAGTATTGTGGATGTGAGATTGGCAAGCAGAGGCTGCAATTGTTCTGGTGGGGCCTCCCCTTACCTGTAGGAAGCCTTCTCTAATAGGAAGGTTTCAAAGCCAGAGGACTAAAAAAGAACATGGCTTCACTATGGGGGAATCTGCTCAATAAAAAGAATCAACGGGACTGGCACAGGTTGCTGAGGCTGGGCCCTGATTCCCTTGGATGACTGAAAGCCACAATCAGTAAGACTAGGGAAACAAGAATCTAGATACTGGGCCTTAAGTGATCACGAAAAAAAACCTGGGCTCTTCTAGATCCTACCACATCTCATCCCGAGTTTTAGAGTTCCTGTGGGTTTTCTTTTTCAATTTTTAATCTTGTGTGTTTGTGTGGTGTGTGTGTGTGTGTGTGTGTGTGTGTGTGTGTGTGTGTGTGTGTGTGTGTGAGTATTTTGCCTGCATGCATGTCTGTGTACTCCATGTCTGCCTGGTGCCCAAGGAGGTCAGAAAGGGATGTAAGATCCTCTAGAACTGGAATTAGAGATGGTTTGTGAGCCACCACGTGGGTACTGGGAATTGAACTCAGGTCCTTTTGAAGAGCAGCCAGTGTTCTTAACCACTGAGCCATCTCTCCAGCCTGGAATTCTTATTTTTACTTCACTAATATCAGCTTTAAGAAGATGTTTTCTGATTCTGCATTTATGTTCTTCTTAGTCAGTGAGAATCAGACAGGTCTCTGCCTTTCTCCAGAGCAGGTATGAGTTGACAGAAGTTTGCCTCTTGCTGTCTATTGGAGACCCCAAAGCTCAAATTCGGTTTTGAAAAGATATTTACATGTCTGACCTCCAGTCCCACTACTTAACAGTTCCCATTACCCTTTATCACTTTTCAAACAAAATACTACTATTGCTTTAGGGCACCCTACCCAGCATGCCCCCCTTCAACTGTGTCTTCTACTGTCTCTTTCCTCCATTAGACTCCAGTCACACAGGCTTTAGTTTGGTTTGGCTGCTCAAAGCTCTTGCCTGTCTCAGAATTTTGCAGCTTGGCATGTTGCTGCCTCTGATGTCTGCTCCAGTATCATCTTCTCTAACACCTTCTTAGATAAACTGATCTAAAGCAACTCCTTTCAATACCCGCCCTGTAGGACCTGTCTGACTGTAATTCTCACTCACATACCCTTTCTATAATCTTCCTATATGTTTGGGTACAGATAGTCTATTTGCTGTGCCTACGCCTCACGGAAACAACACTCTCAGAGCAGCCACACCACCTGTGATACTGTGCTCTGCATTGAAGAAAAATTCTGCCAGAAGACGCTTAAGATGTGTGGTGTGACTTTCAGCATCTGCACTATCTCTGTAAAATGCCAGCAGTGATGAGAAACAGCACCAGATGGTCTTAGAACCACCCATGAGGGTACAGTCAATGGTTTTTGAGAAGGGTGTGTTTATCATTTGTCAAAAGAAAAGAGTGCTGCCGTCACTATGATTGTCCCCAACATCAGGCAGGGAACTAGAGCTACTGTTTTCTATGTGTCTACTCACTGAGCTCAGGGACTAAAGCACACACTGTAGGTGGTGTTTGTAGCTGCTTGACTGCTAAACTAAAGGAAGCTCTCCCTTGGATGGACCCTGGAGGCATAGGTTGCATTTTACAGTGACATTTTGTAAAGCTTATTCATTCTGCTCCCTAGGGAATACTGCCATGCCATTGAAATGTTCTCTCCAAGAGAAAGGAGAGGAGAGATTGCCAATACGAAATGGTCCAATGCATGTCAGTTAGCAGATGTACTTCCATTTTTTAATTTAATTTTTATTTGTGTGCGTGTGTGTTGGGGGTATGTGTGCACGTATGTACAGGTTCTTGATTGGCCAGAAGAGGATTTCTGATTCCCTGGAGCTGATGTAATAGGTAATTGTGAGTTGCCTGATGTGGGTGCTAGGAGCTGCTTTGGAGGGCCACTGAGATACAGCTACTGCTTTTGTCTTATTGTTTTGCTTTCCTTCAGCCTTTTAACTGTTTTTGTAATAGGTCAGTTTGGCTCATCAGTGGCCTCATACTTCTTGTTCCTGAGGTGGATGTATGGTGTCAACATGGTACTCTTTATCCTGACATTCAGCCTCATCATGCTACCAGAGGTAAGCTCTGATTTCCAGCTTGTAAGAGACACTGAAAAAAAAGTTTTAAGTGATTGTTCCCCTTCTCTCCTCCCCCCTTTTAGAGTAGCATGACTAGCTATGGTCATTTCTTAAGTGATGAGATTTACAATAAGCTTAACCTTCAAAATAGTACCTATACCCAAAGGTCCCAATCCTTGCTCCAAGGGTATGTGATTCTCATGAAGTTACATATAACATGCTGTGTTTGTGTCTCAGTGTGCACTTTAGGTAGGAAAAATCATATCTTTACTCAGAATCACATTGTTTTTTGCCCCAATGTTAAGCACTACCGGTCAACGGGATGCCTACTGAGCTGTATTTATTTTGCCAAATTTGCTTTCCAAGTTGTTCTTCTCACAACCAGAAGTTCTAGCTTTTCTAAACTGGAGGAACACCACACTAGCAGCATTTTCCTAAAATAAAGTTTGACTTGTCTCATGCACACAGTTGATGGGGTCAGTGACCATGGAGTGTTTTAAGGTCAAAATCAGAAACGTAGAGGGCTCAGACTAAGAAAAAAACAAACCCCTCAGTTGATATGGGGAAAACTGAGTGGAAACCAGACCACCACTGTGCTTGCTGGCTTCACCCCATGAAGCAGCTCAGATGTCTTGGGGTGCTTATGCTTCAAAAGCTGGGTGTGAGTTTGTTGAATCTACAAAGAATCTCTTCTGGTACTAGTAAAACCAATTTGTTCAATGTGACATTGTCAGTGGTCGAAACTGGGTGTTTGAATGACATTTTATGCTCCCAGTGTAGTCAGTGGGTTCTCCTACATTTGTCAGAAACCTTCTTGTCAGCAGAATAATATGGCCTGACAGCGCTAAAGAGATGCCAGCTCCCCACAGAGCAAAGTACTTTCATGTTTCATATACTGAGCCTCACAAATTCATGAGGAGATTGTAGAGATTTTCCACTCCCATTTGAAATAGCCCCAAACACCCACATTAGATATTAGGGTACTTAGTAAAGATAGCTATGTTATTTAGTATTTTTGGTAAGATGGCCTGGGTCTAGGACCCATGCTTCTTTTATCACCCAGATTTTGCATTTTAGTCAACTAGTTTTATAATTCCTGTGACAATTCTGGGGCTTCTAAGTCTGGCTGAGGAGACAGTGGGAAGAGATTCTTGCCCAAGTTAAGAGTTTCAGGCAGTGTAGCCAAATGTGTGTGTATTTCACCCATTTCAAATGAAGCCATACTTTATTTTTGCTCCTCTATCTAAGGAAACCTGAAACTCTGCACTCCATCTCTGCCTACTGCTACTCTCCTTGGCTTCAGAAACAGGTAGAGCTGGAGTCTTTTCCTCACATGCTGTGCTAGCTCTGTATGGAGGAAATGAAAGGCTGTTGTTAATTCCTTTGAACTCTACAAGATTCTGTAAAGTGCAGTGCACAGGCCCAGTGATGAGCTGAGACTGTCCTGCCTTTGGATACCTGTTCACATGTGTGTGTGTGTGTGCGCGCGTGCGCGTGCACGTGCGTTAGATACTGAAGCATGTCTTGTTTCCTGGGTGATGATTTCTAACTCCTGAATGTTCCTGGGTGATGATTTCTAACTCCTAAATAGGAACAAAAGAGGATGAGCTCCCTGTGTGTTAACTGTGCAGAGACACCAGAGACCAGAGCTAATCATCTCCCAACCACATGGCCATATTTCATAGCTGCCTTTACCCAGCAGCTCCACCTAGCATTGTTCTGAGGCATGTGGCCTTTTGTCCCAGACTTACATGTCTCTCTGCAGGCCCAATACCTCACTTACCTTTGTTCTCTGTGCCTCTCAACTTTGGAGCGAAGCTGTGTATGGAGAAAGAACTTCCTATTCCGTTCAGTTCAGGAAGCCAACACAGCCAAAGGCTGCAGTTTCAGAAGATCATGCCCTTCCAACAAAAGGAATCAGCAGGGGCTAAGTCCTAGCCTTTGGCTGGTCAGCCTCTGCACACAGGTTTTAAACTGTGCTTACTAACTCCCTCAGGAGTTCATTTCACATATGAAGCAGCTTTTGCTTGGCAAGTTGTGGGGATGGAGGATGCTTTATGAATCCTTCCTATGAGCCTATTCTTGCCTTATTCCTAATCTACTGCTCCCGGTGCTGTTCTCTATTACAATGCTTCTCTCCTTAGTCCACAGCACAGATTCAGATGGAGACGGCGCAGGTGCTGCTGTAATAAGTATGTGTTTGCTCTCAGTAAGATGCCCTCTGACTGATTGCATGGTTGGTTTTTCTGATGCTTTAGTTCCTTCCAGTGAACTCTCCTTCCATCTCCTCTCCAAAGGGGAGCTCTCATATGAAACTGAGGGTAGTACCATTTTGATGAACATGGTGGCACCCCCAAGACTACCTCTCCTCTTCTAAATATGGCTACTATCATGGTGGTGATGAGAACAGGGCTTCTCAGCAAGCCTCTTGGTGACTGTGGTTGGCCTGCTTTGAGATTTATCCAGTGAACTCAGGATGTAGGGGCTTTACTTCCTTTGTTTTTAATTCTGGATTTAGTGGATTCCCAGGAAACGAGACCCCACATGGAGACCACAGAGTCCAAATGAAAAGCTTTCAGAAGTGTTTTTAAGTGAAACCATTTGTGATCACATGTGTAGCTCAGATTTTGCGTCCAATTGTTAACTGCTCTTTTTGCTTCAACTAGTACCTCTGGGGTTTACCATATGGCAGCTTACCTAGGAAAACAGTCCCAAGAGCTGAAGAGGCATCTGCAGCCAACTTTGGCGTGTTGTACGACTTCAATGTAAGTATTTCTACAGAACTGTCTGTAGGGGACCAGCTATTCCCTGTTGCTGTTATCCTGGAATACCATGGCCTTAAGAGAGATGTCCCCGCCTCCTGTTCATAAAAGACTATGTGTGTAGAAATGTGTATGTGTGCAAATAAGATTTACACACATTATAATATGATTACATAGGAATATTGACTAAAGATGAGCTCAAGTCCCAACAATTTCAATCAAATATTATTTATTCGCCATTTGAAAAAGAACAAAGGAAGAAGAATTTGCAAATGTGCTTTTGAAAAATCTTATGGGATTCTTTGGGAATTCATTTTTCTACTTCATATTAACCTCTTCACAATCCTACACAAGATTCATATATAATATTACTTAATAGTCACTGCTAAATCAAGTTAAACATTTACATCCTGAGAAATACCAAATTCTAAGTAACACTAAAATAAGTACTACTTCACTATAGTACTGAAATAAATAGTATTCTGTTATAGTACTAAAGTTAGTCTTACTCAATAGCATAATTTGCCTCAGTTGTCAACTTAACCAGCCTGGGGGAGAGAGAACCTAAACTAAGGAATCACCTCTATCAGATTAGCCTCTCAGGTTGTCTGTGGGGGCATTTTCTTGATTTATGATTAATGTGGGAGTGCTCAGCTCACTGTGGGTAGTGTTATCTCTGGGTAGGTGGGTTTGGGCTATTTAAGAATGGCAGTTAGCCAGAAATGCCCACTGGTAGCATTCTTCCATAAATTTCTGCCTTTTTAAATTCCTGCCTCCAGGTTTCTGCCTTGAGTTCTGCCCTGGCATCCCATGATGATGAACTGTAACTTGTCAGCTGAAATAAATCCTTTTCTCCCCAAGATAATTTTGGTCAGCATTTTGTCACAAAAACAAAAAAGCAAGTTAGAACATTTAATTAGTATAGCACAGACTTATTCCTCTCAATTGAAAAATCATTTTGGGGTATGACTCAAGTCTGTGATAATGAAATTCTATGAATTCTTTTTAAAAATACTAACCAGATCAGAGATGTTTGGAAGCATGTGAGTAGGAAAGTTCTAAGGCAAAGTTTAGGAAATTGATAATTCATTCAGTTTTTTTGGAGAATTTTGAATGAGAATCAAATTTTGTATATTTGACATGATAAGGAATTAAAAACCTGGATTTCCTCTTCATAGTTAATATGTGCATTCATACATATTTTGGTTTCTATATTTTGAGGTTCTTAAGATGGGAAGATGGCTGTTCCGTATTCTTTCCAGCTCCAATCTGGTCTTCAACTAACTGGTGGATGGCTCTCACGAACCCGGCTTTCTATCTCTATAGTTTGTTTCTGGACTTTTTTTTCCCTCAAATAAATGAATCAGATGACATTTAGTCTTGTGAATCTCATTACTAGCAATCCTGAGTGAGGGGAAGATTTTTTAGATCTATGTGATGAAAAGCACAGAAATAGATTTATGTGATCAGTACCAGAAGACACAAATTTTAAGACCGTGTTCCCATCTCTAAGAGTTCACAGTGAGCTACTAAGGAAGCATGAAGCATAGACTAAGTAGTGGGTGTGCCACTTCGACTCTGTAGTCACCCTAATCAGACATTTCATTTGAAGTCAGCTTTTATTCATTGAATATAAGTATGCATTTGTCTTACAAAAAATAGTGCTGTGGATCTTGACTGATTGTACATGTTAATAGGAGGAAGATGGACAACTAGTATATGAGGTGCTGCACACCGTATTAGCACAATGGAAATAAGAAGAACAACAATGAGAGGGTCCTGGGGTGTCCTGTTTAGGTGTGGTGTCTTAGTTACTTTTCTAGTGCTGTGGTAAGATACTATGCCTAAGGTAACTTATAAAAGAAGAAGTTTAATTGGGCTTATGGCTGTAGATGGTTACAGTCTATAATGGTGGCATAAAAGTAGGCAGCTGGAACAGCAGTTGAGATTGCCCATCTTAACCACAAGTAGGAGTCAGAGAGGGTATGCTGGGAATAATGTGAGTTCTTTGAAACCTCAAAGCCCACCCCCAGTGACATATCTCTTCCAACAAGGTCATACTTCCTAATCATTTCTCAACAGTTCCATCAACTGGGAAACATAAGAGCCTGGGGGGAACATTTTCTTTCAAGCCACCAAGTGTGATTAATTCTGCTTGAGAAAGGCTCAGTTTTACTGGGGATAGTCTTTGAATGGCAATTCTAACCTTGAGACTGTAAACTTTTCAGTTTTATTGTAGTATAACTTACAGACCATTAAATTCACCCAATGTAAGTGTATGGTCTGGTAATTTAAAGTAAATCTATGCAGCAGTCATCACAAGCCGGCTTTAAAACACTTCCCTCACCTCCCATGGAGCTCTTTTGTGCCTGTCTGTCATCTAGCCCTCAGCTCCCGATCTCACACAACTCTTGCATTTATTTTTTTTTTTTTATAGTTTTGCCTTTTCTAGATTCTTTTAAAGGAATAAATGCAGTCATATGACACCTTGTATTTGTAGTCTGATATCTTTCATTTGTTATGTTTTTGGTTTACTTATGCTATACATGCACCATAATTCATTGCAGAGAGCACTGCATTGCATGGTTTTAATTTCCTTTGTTTATCCATTCACTGATGAATGATGCATTTCTCCAATGTTTTGGCTGTTTTGAATAATTCTACTCTGAGTATTTGCTTTGAATGCCATTTGCGGACATACACTTTCATTTCTGTTGAGTGGATAAGTTTGAGTGGAGTTACTGGGTAAACATGTGCCTAGCTTTTTGTGGAAGTTACTGATGTCTAGAGTAGCTGCACATTAAGTGTTTCCACAGTAGGACTTAGGATAATTCTCCTCTACATCTTTAACAGTTGACATTCTTATTCATTTTGATTCTAGTATGCTCTATTGAAACTGTAATGCTATTTCTTTGTAGTTTTAATTCACATTTTCTTCTTACACATTGACAACATAGTTGCATATATTATGGGGTACAAAGTGATGGTACAGTATTTTAATATAAGAAAAAATGATTAAATCAAGCTAATTAACCTATCATGGATGTCAGATATTTAATGATTTTTGTGTTGAGAACATTTGAAATTTACTATCTTAATAATTAAGCACACAATCACTAGGCTATTTGCTGTGTTTATTGAGTTTTACAATAGATAGAAAATTTCATATATATTCTTTCTGCCCAAGTGAGTTTTTGTGTCCTTTAATTGTCATTACTCGGATCCTCCCTTCCCTGGGCTCTGGAAGCTCCATTCCACCTCTTGTTTCTTTGCGTTTGGTTGATTAGATTGCACATAAGTGAGAACATGTGGTATTTGTCTTTCTGTTTGGCTTAGAAAGCAAACAGCAGTTAGGAAACAGAATGGCTGTGCAAAGCTTATTGTATCAGACAAGGCTAGATTTGTGGTTAGGGCAAGGTAATGAGAGGTCTTTTATATTATAGTAAGAAATAAATAAATGCAGCAAGACTCTAATGAGGATTCACTGAAGGATCCATGGGAAATAAAATTAGCAAGTTGCCCATTGAATATGATTATTCCTACAGAAACATTAATATTGTTTCTTTATGAGATGTTTAAATTTTATGGGTCTTGAAGTTTGAGAACTGCTGTGGGTGTTGTTTTCTTCAAAGATTTTATTCGAACTTTGGCAGGGAAAGAGTTTGGCTAATGTCAGGAGTATTTTGTTTTGCCATTTGTGTCAGGGAAAAGAGTTCACTCACCCTAGCTAGCATAAACAGAAATAAGTGGGGTGGGAACAGCTGCATAGATAACTATGTAGATAATGATAACTGTAGATTAATAGACAATTGATAGATAACAGAATAGAGCTAAACTAGTAGTTTAACAACCAGAAGATAATTTTACTTGTAACTAATCCTTATTCTAGGAAAGATGAACTTTACCATTCCTGCTTCATAGATGGGGAGGCTAAGGGCTCCTGGGCTTTGCTCTTTCCTCTCAGTTCTTCAGGTAGTAAATGACAGGGCTGGGATTCTTAGCACAGCTCTGAAGCCTAGAAGTCATCTCTATGTATACTGCCAGAGGGCCCTGAAGTAACTAGAATTTTTTATTAGGAATGTAGAAAATAAGAGAATTTTATCCATGGAATTACTGTAGAAATCATCCACTCCATGCCCAAGATTGAACAAGGGGAAAAGTGAGCTCAGGGTCTTTGGCAGAGCAAGCCCCAATCTAATTCTCTACTCATGTCCTGTGTGCCAGCAGCAACTTTCCTGCCCTAATTTTCAGTAGAATTCTCATGGCTGTTTCTATAAAACTGACTGGCTTTGTTCAATGCTGTGTCCACCCCAGAGGGAAGGAATGGAAACGGTTTGATCCCATTTCCTACTTTGACAGTAAACTTATAATTTCCAAATCAGCTCCTCAAATGAAAAGGCAGACTTCTAACTTCTTCTTGCCTGAGTTTTGACTTGTTCATCTGGACAGTGACTTCACAGAGGCATTTTCTCTATATCATAAGGTGAGTCCAGAATTCATCACACCTTCTCAGAGGAAAACATAGGAAACTCTTCATTCTGGCTTCCAAAGAAGTACCAGCAAGGAAAAGTGTGTTCAGTTCCAGGGCCAAGATGACCAGTGGATGGATAGTTCAGCCATGGGTTAGGTAGTTTCTTCCAGGCAAAGGAAGGAGTGCAAGCCCTTAAGTCTGCATTTACAGAACATTAAAAGTAGATGCAAGTGTGACCTCTTGTGGTAGAAGAATCTACTAAATGGAAAGGGTCAGAAAAGCTGGAAAAGAAGTAGGAAAGTTCTAAGGAACTTCTAATGTGGTGAGCCTTGTTTGGGAATCTCAAAGCTTCCATTCTAGCTGAGCTCTTCCACTTGAAAGCACTTTCTTCAACTCATCAAAGCCTCTGGTTAGTAGTAGACAAGTATCACGTGACACGTGAAAGTAACTAGTTTTATGATTCCTCAGAGTCACACATTATCATTCACAGAGCAAAATAGTTTTGATCCTTTTATTGAGTGCCAAATGATAG